GGAAAGAGTGACTCATTTTTTAGAGAAAACAACAAAAAAATATAGAGAGAAGAAAAGAGAGAAAATCATGTTGCTATGTTCGCATATCCACTAGGTAATCGTTTTCAATTTATAACCAAAGATTTATTGTTGTTGGATCATGTTGATTTTTGGACAACATGTTCGTAAGACAAGGTTCTTTGTTTTTAATGGTTGGATTGTCAAATGATGATTTGGAATGAGAGAAAAGAGTCTCGCAAGAAATTTATTTTTTGTGCTTTTCATCTTATTTCTCGTTTGTAAGAGATTATGTTTGGTTTGCTTTGTTTGATTGTAAACATTGTTTGATTTGTTCTTTTGGAAACATTCTTATAAATTTTGTTGATCATAATGAAATTTTTTTTTATTTAAACAACTCGTAATTTTTATCCTACATTGAGAGATTTTTCATGTTAAAAATATTTGTGTCTCTTATACATTAGAGTTATCTATTTTTACTTTATTTTATTGGTGTTTCTTGTTGATTCTTGCACGTAAGAGATTTAATTTTCATTGTATTATTACTCTTTTATTGAGTTATTGTTATTGTGTTGGACTTTTCCCCATCATGTTCTCCATAACAAAATGTGATAAACGAGCTTAATATGCTAATGGAAAAACATCATAGGAATGTTACAATAATAACTCTAATGATAATAATAGTTGGTGGCATTTCAGGGCTTGGGTAGTAGTCAAAGACTTTAATTCTATTCTTCATCAGCATGAAAAGAACTGGTGGTTTTGCTAATCCTTAATTTGTTTAGGGGGATTGTTGGATTTTAGAGCATGATTAATGATTATGAGCTTGTAGATGTTGGGTTCCAAGGATATCCTTTCACTTGGAAGAGAGGGAACCTAGAACAATGATTGGATAGATTGTTGATTAATCTGCATTGGACAATATAATTTTAGGATTGTTTACGGTGAAATTCGTTTGTGGACTCTTTATACTCGAACTAGCATGAAAAACAATTTCAATTTAGGTATTTAATTTAAGGGCAGAAAGCAGAGTGGGAAGATTTAGTAGCTACTAGTTTCCAAATATTTGTCAATGATTACCAAGAAATAATGTTCATGTACGTAAACACTTAAATAAACAGAATGAACAATAGATATATTCCCAATACAGATCATGGTTCATAATGTTCCAGCATTACAATATCATCATAATTTACGTAATTTTAAAACTACGTTTTAGTATTTAAAACTACGTGACTAGAAAAAGAAAGAAGACTAAAATAATCCTAATCTAAAAAGAGAAAAGAAAGGTGGTCAAGAAGCAACCATACCCAAAAATGATTCCTTGCACGATGCCATATGCGCAGGCAGAGAGTGCTTGAAAGCTCTATTCAAGTATGAGTTTTTCCGACCCCCGTGATGGTATATGTTAATAATATTTATAGAGTTTAATCGATAGCAGTTAATTTCGTGAGAATGTATTGTGGGCATGGATAACTGCTATCCACTACATTGCTTACGTGGGCTTAATATAACTTCCCATAACTGTCCTCCCACATGTTTTTACTTCCTCGATCTACTTTTTAATAACCGCCTTGGTGTAATCGTACAAGAAACTTCTAACAACGTCTATTTTCCCTTCGAGCATACCGTTGTGCCACTCGAAATAATTCTTTTCGATTTCGAACCTTTGTTGTTAGTAGGTGTCGACTTTGTAACGTCTTTCGAGGAATCTCATGTACTATTTCGACCCATGAAGTCTTCGAGTAGGCCTAACAAATGCCCCCCTAGGAATTCAGTCGTGGTGAGCATACTCTTACTGCGATGAGAGACTTGAATTCCTATCAAGAATCATTCTTCGATTCTTCATCGAGATGGTTTAAGTGCTTGTCGTAACTTTTGAATTTTTGTTTCTTCGATGAAAACCTACCCTGATTCCGCATTTAATTCAAATGACTGTTTGATGGGACATTGATTGCCCTGACGGCGCGTGCTCATTCTTCCCCATAAATTTGTCTTTGAAGAAACGGTTTTGGCGGCTTGATTTGAATTGACATGGACTCGTTTTGACCTAA